AGCTGCAGTATCCACACAAAACAAACTAACTAACAAACAATAACATGAAAACGAACATCGGAGGTTAATCAGCAGCATAGTTTCTGAAGTCCCTCCTTTAAACTCTGTTGGCGACGACTTATCCCCCCTCAGTTCCCCCCTGAAAACCATGTGATTCCCACAACAATCCTCCGATCCCCCATCCCCTCCCCAGAGTGATGAATAATGACTAGTTCCTTATGAAATACTTAAACTTCCCACCTGCTCGTTTCCTTCCCTTTCTTCGACGTAGAATCTCATACATGAGCCCACAGACAACGGCACAGCTGAACATGGTAATGATAGCAAGGATCGTCACAACGAAGAAAGGACTGTTGACTTCAAAGAACGTTATATCCTGCGAATGGACTGGTGCCGCGACCTACAAGTATATATTAAAGAAAACAAAGAAACACTACATAATACTTGTGACTGCCCTGCACGAAAGAGATCCAGCTCTAACCATTAACCTGCAGGAATGGAGGCTCACTACTGAACTTCCGCCATACTTTAAGCTTTCCCGTTGAAAGAAGTTTGCCCCAATCCTTAACTCACCCTACATTTCCTAAGGCGCTAACGGGGGGAGCTTGTTTAACAATCAAGAGCTTCTTAAGTTGATAACCTTTTCCTTTATTCTCGCGACCTTAATGTGTGATTCAGGCCAGATTATATTGTAAAGATAATTAGATCGGCTAGTCACTAAATGGGGGGGGGGGGTGTCAAAGAATTAAATCGCAACTGAGTAAGGTTCGCCGCGATTTTCCACCCTCGATACTTTTATTGCGTCATATACGCTCGGGCTAAATGGTCAAACCTCAACCCAAAATAGAAAACGTTAATGTATACATGAAATTATAACATAACCAAAGTAAAGCGTGCGCTCTGATTGGTCAATTTAGCGTCCCCCATTTGCCCATGGGTGTACGCTGCTGACGTGAGCAAATGCAAAGACTATTTTTCCGCGCGCGATTGTTTTTTCTGGTCACGTAAGATTTGTTAAATAAAAGGGAACTCTTTAGCTACAATGTATCAATGTTATGTTATAAAACAAATGGTAAACACCACAGCGTACACTATTGAGTTATGGATGCACTTGGGAGGTTTGCTAAGCACTCAAGAAGCTAGAGTCGCTCGAGGCGATAGCCGAGAGCGACTCTTACGCTTCTTTCGTGCTTAGCAACCTCCCGCGTGCATCCATAACTCAATGGTGTACGCTGTGGTGTTTACCATCTGTTAATTAGAGTGCGGTTCACAGGCTTTAGGGAAAAATCTTCAAAAGAAAAAGTACTCATTTGAGGAATGAATGATAGAACAGCATTACAAGTAAACATGACAAAGGGGAATGAAATTGATGTCAAGCTTACCGCATCATCATCCCCAAAGGAAAGATACTTAGATTGCACATTATTCTGACTGATGAAATCTTTCAGAGCTTTGTGCAATTTCATAGCTTGTCCTCGAAGAACAATTCCGTAAGACATATCAGCTTCAACAAAGTGGTCCACTTTATACCAGGAACCATTGAACCATTCTGGTCTCTTCATTGGCAAATACATGTCAACATAAATGGCATCTGTTTTCCCGGATCTTAGTGCATCAACAAGTTTCTCCGTGGTACCATATGATTTTCCTGGTGAAATATCTAAACTTGAGTATCATTTGTTGGTCATCTTTGGTTAAGAGCCTGTTAGCTGAGTCTAATACGTATGAATATACCGTAAATCCTCTGATAAGCCCCCCCCCCTCTTTAGAGGAAGAAATTTATGAAGCCCCCTCCTCTATCAAAAAACAAAATTCAAAATAACACTCCAAGTCAGTAAGTAAGAAAAATTTATTCAAGTACTGTAATGACTGTGGTGCTTGATTGATTGACGTTATCATGTTGGCATTTATAGATTACGGTATACGGAAATTACAGAACAATACTAAAAATATAACATGGCTAAACAAGGTTCATTGAGAGAATTAGCTCATAAAATTGAGTTCTTTATTCAGTTCTAAGTTAATAAGTACCCCCCTCTAATAAGCCACCACCGCCCCCACCCCCCCAAGTACCTGAAATAAATAGGCCCCCTTGGGCCTTATTAGAGGATTTACGGTAAATCAAATATAAGCTTAAGGTCTGATAAAAAGCTTGTAGTCACGTTAAGACATACCAATCTCCCATTTTCCGCTCAAAGTTTTGGCTACGAGGTTTAACTCAGTAGAATTAGCAACAGCTGATACCTAAAGACAAAGTAACACGAACCAATTACTAGTGAAGAATTCTTGTCGAAATTCTGGTAATTGTAAGTGTTACACACTGATCTTCCAACATTATAAATAAGAACGAAACGCTTGCCATTTCTATCAGCTTTTTAGATTTTTTTTGTTACAGCAATTGAACATTTGAATGAATCTTCCATCAGATGATTTTTAACTGGAAGGGGCAAAGGTGATTGTTAAGACTTAAGAAATTCTAGTTTAGACATACTGCTGATGCGTATGTGCTGCTCTTAATAAGCAGTGAATATTTCCATTTTTTGAGCAAAATTATTCCCTATGCTTAAACTCGCCCAGAAAGAACACCATTGACTATTTCCTCTGTTTGGCTACAACTGCACAACTATTTACAGTAAATCTGGCCAATAAAAGACTAGCAAAGATGTATTAACGACTTTCAACACAATAAGTTGCGCGGTAGTTTTTCTTATTTCCTACAACAATCGAGAGACTATAATTATTTGGGTTTTCGATTTACTGTTACCTTTGTTTTCATTTGCGTTAACGTTGGCCCCCCTGTGATGACAGTAACTGTCATCATTGCTGTTACCGCAGAGCCAAAAAACGTGAAGATAATTAGTCCAACCAGAAACCACACAATGGCGAATGCCTTCGCCAAGACACCTTTTGGGAAGCGGTCTCCGTAACTGATGAGGAAAAAAGCTTTTATGAGAATAAAGCGCCAGGTTGGAATTGGTGGAGGACCCAACGTTGCGAACTTACACAGTCAACATACACACTAACTGCTTACGCTGTAAAGACCTAACGTTGCTAGAGGCAATTTTTTCAACACTTTGGGACAGTTTTGGAAGGTAAGTAGCAGAATGGGAACAGAAGTCAAAACACTTTTCCTCCTTCATATACAGCTTGTAGAATAGTGATCCTACTTGTATCTATAGTGACATACCCAACCGTCGTCATGGTAATAAATGACCACCAGAATCCCTCTGCTGTTCCTTTGATAAAAGGGCGCGGAAAGGAGTCTTCTTTCTCTTTCAAGTCCTGAGAATATGGATTCAGGACATTACAGATCACACAAAACAATATTGTGTTTACAAGGTGTTCTATAGCAAAAGTAACAAAAGAAAATATTTCTCTAATACCTTAAACTACACGGACCGCATCTACTTTTTTTGTTCGGTTTATCCCCACCCCAAACTCCACCCCAAACTCCACCCCAAACTCTACCCCAAACTCCACCCCCAACTAAGGGAAAAGGCTCTGGGAACGAGGTTGGATTCTTAGGCTGGCTCTAGAAAATTTTAAGAGTAATAATCCTGATGAAGACTGCTTGTGGGAGACTGAGCTGATTTTAAAGCCATTTACTTAACAAAAGCCATTTACTCAGCCATCCTCTCTCAATAGGCCATTTTACAGCTGTGTACTTAGTTGCCAAGCCTTTGATTTGGAGTGAGGCTGAAGGTGACTTTGTCGTGAAAGAGACCTGTATCTAGTTAGCATGATAACAAAGTGATTTACATTTGAAAGGCAGCAAGGTTTGTATCAAAACAAGGTCAACCCTAACCTCACTCCCATTCAAAGACTTGGCAACCACGCAGACAACTGTAAAATGGACTATTTCCCCACAACCCACCAGCGTGTATTGAAATTAAACTACACACTAAAATAATTCAAAATATCGCAAGGCGTTTGAAAAAACTTACAAGAATCCAAATAATCATCCCGGCAAGTATCATGGTCAAGAACGCGAGCACAAATATTGGCCAATTATCGAAGACTGAAGACCGTAAAACTTTCTGATACACCCCTGGGTCATCATTCCGTCGTTTGATAACCAACATCCCTGGTACTTGAATCACAGCTATGTATTTGCTGAACTCACTGACTCGCACTGAACTCGCTGTAACGGGGAAGCTTATTTCTGATTCAATGTTATCCTGCCCAACAATTTGAAGCTGTGTTGTACCGTAATCCTCACATTCGCCACACGATTGTTCTATAACACCGGAGATAATTTTATTCAGCATTCCATCTTTGTCCAGGGCAGTCGGTTTCAACGCTGTGGAGAATCCTTTTTCGCAACGACAAGTCTCTGCAAGAAATCGCAACCGTCAAATTCAGTATCGATTCTTTTCCTTGCATACTTTCTCGTATTTATTTCAGAATATCAGCCATGATTTGCGGAATGCAAAGTCATTATGTTTTGTTGTCATTGTTGGTGTTTTTTTTTTGTTTTTTTTCTTCGTCTTTTTTTAAAGCTATTAAAAACCAAAAATCTAACAAAAAACACTTCAATCCAAACAGGAAATCATATACCTCCAATAACTTCTTCACTAAAAACTCCAGTTCCGGCCTCCGTCACTGCTGCAACCTTAAACTTGAACGAGGTAAAAGCTGATTGGTTGTTTAGTACAAAATAATTCATGCTCGGTGGTACTACCCTGGAAAACGTCTTCGAATCAGGAACAGGTTCTCCTCCTTGACCAATCATTCGATACTCCACTTGGTAACCAATCATCCTTCCGTTGACGTCACCTTGAGGTAAAGCTTTCCAGGATAACGTTATTCTATGTGGACTTTCATACGATGTCCCGACAACAGATGGTGGTGCAGAACTTGGCTCTAATTCGATAAATGCAATCAATATTACCTATAGTGACTTGACTAAAGATATCTGATTTTTCAATCCTGATCCATCATTACGGCGAGTTCTAATCTATTTCTTTATTTAGTTTTACTTCCTTGTGCATTTTTGATAATCTAACCACATCTATACCAATCAGAAGCAAGAGCACAAACAAGTCATGCGTCAATCAATCGTAGAACCCGATTTCTCCACTCTTTACACTGGTCCCCAGGTCCCTGATCCGGTGTTGCACCTTCTTATTGGCTTGTGGGTTTAAGATAAAATCTGATTTAGGTTTCAATGCATTTCACTTACTGTCTTGTGCAGTGGTAATGTTCAAACAGTCTGTAGATTTCCCATCTCCTCTTCGGGTAAAGCCTGCTACTTTTGTGCAGTACTCTGTATATTTTAACAATCCGTTGATTTCTTTCCTAAATGTCTCCGCATTAACACTTAAAGTTTGATAAGGAGTAACAGGCTCACTCGTCCTTTGATAAAAAATCTTTTATCCCAAGAGTATTCCGTGGATGAACTCCATTTCAATTGAATTCCATTCAATAAAAAGACTTGTCGAGCTGATGTTGTAGCCAATTAGGCCTCCTGGTTCTTGGCTGGGGACTAAAAATCAATCATTCAATTAATCAATATGCTTATTCCATGTTGAGGTTGGCAAAGACTCATGCATGTGACGCGTGATTAAGGCCAAATGATCAAGTGACAATTTGGGTGTGAAACGGTTTCAGGACGCGCTTCCCCCTTCCCCCTCCTTTTGCTACCCTTCGAGTAACGTTTTGCATAAAAAAAGAAAAAAAACCTGTCAAAATAGGCAATTTCCGAATTTCTTTTGGCCTCTTTTTCAAAACGAGGCCTGGAGCTCAACCTTTCTGGTGAAAATGAATTTAATTTGCATGTGAATGAAAATTTATTATCATATGAGAGGATGAGCACCAGGACTCGTTTTGAAAATGAGGCCAAGGGTAATTCGGAAATGGGCTATTTGATACGATTGCGAAAGAGCTACACTTTCAGACATCGAACAACTTGATCTAGAATTCAGGAGAGACTTTTTGGAACAACCGAATAGTTGTATCGTCGCAATAAGGTAATTCCAAGGGATAAAAGTTTACTCTGACATACCTGCTTCATCTGTCAATGTGCATGTTACGTTTGTTCTCCCACTTTCTCCAATCCGATTGTAAGCGACAGCTTCCACACAATAATTGGAATAAATTTCAAGGCCATGAAATTCTGTTGTAAGATTTTTCGTCTCACTGCAGACGTTTCCGCTCTGTAGTATATCGCGTTTTCGTCTTCCCTGGCCGTGTTGTGTGGACTTTGTTAAGAAAACACGGTACCCAAGGATGATGCCTCGACGAAACTCAGGTGGTACTGGACTCCATTCAACTTTGATAGAAGTTGAACTGGTGTTGAACACTGTTAGGTTGGCCGGAGGACGCCCTGGGGCTAAGTGAAAGAAAAACAAAGACACGTAAAGCATCTATGTGTGATATCTCCGAGATCCATTCGGCATTGAATACCTCATCAATATCAGTATCTAAGCAACTGCGCTCCTACCCCACCCCTAATTCAACATTAACCTGAAATTGTTATCAGTTGACTGTTGTTGGGTAAGGGGAGGGATAAGTGCGCATTTGCTCAGATACTGGTATCAGTATCTAAGTAACTGCGCACCTACCCCGCCCCTAATTCAACATTAACCTGAGATTGTTATCAGTCCACTGTTGTTGGGTAAGGGGAGGGATAAGTGCGCATTTGCTCAGATACCGGTATCAGTATCTAAGCAACTGCGCACCTACCCCACCCCTGACTCACCATAAACCTGAAATTGGTGTCAGTTGACTGTTGTTGATAAGGGGAGGGGTGAGAGCGCATTTGCTCAGATACTGGTATTGAAGCAGGTTACTTCTTCTGTGAATTCACCTCCTGCCGTGTACTGCTTTCTACCTACTGAAAACCTATTTGGATTTTTATGCATATATCTTCAGGTTTTTTCCTCTCGTTACTGGTTGGTTGTAACTCGTTCCGTTTGGTCCCGTTCGCTCTTTTTATCGCTAGGTCATCTCATTATATCCTTCTCCGCTCTTTAACTTGGAGGGTAGATTGCATTCTTTTTTTTTCTGTTCATTTGATTCGTTGTTCTAGAATGGACTCTTTACACAATCAACAATTCTTGAAAGCTACTAATGACCGGAATTTAAAATATAACTATTAAAACACTAAAAACCCACAAAATTTCATCACACTAAAAACCATTTCTTTTTTATATTAGCTGTATTGGTACTTACTAACCTTCTTCATCGGTGGAACAAAAAAAGCAATCACTCTTGTATCCAATTGTACTCGTGGTAAAAGCAGACAATTGAATACAATAATTTGTAAATACTGTCAAATTGTTGAAGGAAAAGTTAGACCACTCTGAACACAAATCAACTGTGACAGTGTCGATTTCATCCGCTTTCCTGAAGTAAATCCTGTAGCCGGATATACGTCCATTCTCAAAGTCATTTGGAAAAGCCCTCCATGTGATCTCTAACGACGTAGAACTTGTGTTGTACGCTATTACATTTTCTGGTGGACTCAGAGGAACTGTCGAAATATCAGCTAGGAAGAAAAGTTAAATTACTGCGCCATAAAGATTTTTGAGAGCTGGGAATTAAACATAGCTTGCGCGGGCTCATGCATTTTACAAAAGTTAAATTTAATGATTGCTGTCATGTTGCACAGCATCTTCAAGGAGATCTTTTTTCTCTGCCTCTCCAGACGATATAAAAGCTAGAAGAACTCTCTCCTTTCTTTACTCTAGTGAGGGGCGTAGTAAAGCAAAACTGATGAAAATAGATTGATCTTAAAACACATTTAAAACTGAACTTTAAATTATTATTATTAAATTTATTAAATTTATGTTTAGCATTGACTCGTACCCATACCTCCATCGCCAGTTAAAAGACATTTTGGGTCACTGCTTTCCCCAACAACACGTTCGTTTATGGCCGAGACAGCAATGCAATAGTTTGTGTAAGCTTTCAAACCCTCAAGAAGAACAAAGGTGGCAGACGTCCTTTTTGTCATTTTTACCGAGTTGTCACCGCTTGCCTCGTAATATTGGATCTTATACCCTTGAAGAGTTCCGAACGTAAAATACGAGGGGACTTTAGACCATGAAGCACCGAGGGACCTGTTGTTATTAGACCATAAATTGTTGATGCTTGGCGCAATGGGTGCTGTGGAAAACAGATAAAAAAATAAGAGTTACGTTAATTTTGTCCAAACAGACTGAACTGTTGTCCTATTTCTCAAAATTAATCTGTTTACTGGTTCCTTTATCAAAAAAGTGCTTTAAACTTTCATTCACCGTGATGTGGCATGTTCAAGGGCTGAAAATCATTAGCTACTAGACAGTTAGCGATAAGTAAATCAGGAAGTTATTAACAAACAGATTAGAAAGGTACATCAAGAAATGTGATTCGATAATTCAAAGGACATGATGGAATTATTGTAACTAGTTCATTATTTGCCTTCCACATGAACGCTTTTACCTGTTTAGCTAGCTTCACGTACCTTGTGGCTCAAGTAGTCTATATCCGTAGATCTCCACTCTAATGCATGGATACCCATTGTAGAACTGGCTTGAGTCATACAAAAAACGAATGTGGGATGCTCCAACCCCATCTGTTAGAACATTCTTCTTTACCGTGTATCTGTTTTTGTTGCCTTCAAATATCTATTATATCGTATAGAGGAGATACAGAGTTTAAAATTAGTATAATTTTCTTCAATATTTCAGACCAGCACATAGGCTTTCTCTTGGATTAGGTGGCATTACAGATTCCAGAGAGTGAACCATGCCACACCATGCCCTAACATTTCTTAATTCTGATTACCGTGCTATTTGCCCTAGCTAATTCACTCACACCCTTCCCTTTCTTACACTAACTAAACCATTTCTACGAACGTAATTAAGTGCAACGAAGAGCTTAGTTTTTAGATATTAAGACAAAATTCATTTGAATACGCTTAAATGCATGGACGACTGGACATGAACAAATTTAAAATTGTGGCGGAAGGACAAGGGCTTCCCCACTCATAAAGTCCTCAACTGTTTTCATTTTCAGATAATGTTCTTAGGAAATAACTTTTTTTTTAACAAGAGTATGTAGGGCTCGACACTAGCGGTAGCCAACTAGCCACAGACTATTAGAAATTCAGTTTTGGCTACTGGTTTTCGATTTCCACAAACCAGTTTGGCTAGTAAACAAACTGAAATTGTTGTAACATCTAAGTTGTCATTAGCCACTTGGCTAGTAAGTTGAAAAGTTAGTGTCGAGCCCTGACTATGAAAAACCTTGTGATTTTTATGCTCTTCATAAATGTCCCAAGTAACACCATCTGTAGATAACTGTAATAAGTAGGATTTGAAATAGGAACCGTCTTGGTCGCTTCCTTGCGTAGCTACTGCGCAGATGCGATATATCAGTTGAAGGTCAATCTCCATGTATCCTGTACCAGTTTGACTGCCGCACCAAGCAGAGGAGGGTATACCCAGTCTCCCCTCACGATCCTTAAAGTTATCATGTGAATTGTTAAATGTAATGGCATCATTCGAAATATCTCCACTCTCCATGCCAATAGGGATATCAATGCATTGGAAGGAACTGTTAAGAGCTGGCAAGTAGGAAGAAAAACAACCAGATTAAGAGAGATGGTTGCTTTTTAACTCAGTTTTCAGATTAAATAATATCTATTCATTTTTCCCACACTCTCGACAAATCTGTCTGCAAAAGAAAACCATTTTTAAGGTTCAGATCTACTTCATAATCTAAATGCTACAGACCTTTTGGTCTCATCGGTTTTAAAGATAATGCAGTTGATGTTACTGAGTAAATTGTAAGGTTTTGTTCATTTAATATTTTTGGAGATAAATAACTGTCTCACATACAGCTGTAATTATTCCCAAGTCAAGATGCATTTGATTGTGGGGATACAGTGGAGGGGGCCAGGAAAGTGGGAGCCCAGAAGAACAGGGGGTGGGAGTCTGGAAGAGCAGGGGGCCAGTCAGAGGGCAGGAGGCCTGAGTAAAAATTAAAAGCCACTTGTTTATTGTTTATTACTGCTTATCGTCCAACTAAAAACTGGTACAACAATGAAAAATCAGTCCATGGAATACCTCCTTTCTGCCAAATGTCTTTTGGTAACATCAGACAACCCACTGCAACTCCCTGGATCAGCCAACAACCAATTATTGGATAAGGGTGAGTATGATATTATAGAAGAGTTGCACCTCGTCGTGCGTTACTCACGTAGGTCACGCAATTAGGGTACGATTGTATTGTCTCGTAATTGGACCCCCCTACAGATATAGACTACTCGTGGTAAGAGACGTGAGTATGTTTTAAAGTGTTTTTGAAGGAGTTGCAGAGCTTTCCCGCGCTCGTGACTAAAATAAACGTATAGAGAACCCGTTAACCGTGTGCTGTGGTTTATCTCTTACGGATTCCACCGCTACAGTATCATGAGTTATGAGGCAGACAATTCACACATGAGGTTTGATAATTCGTGATAGCATACATTGACAGAATTCTGTAAGTGTTTTATAATACAAAGAGGACAATTCTCTCTGAGTTTGCAGACTTTTAAGAAAACTACATGTATAAGGATGAGGAGTTTGGAAACTAAGCAGATATTTAACTCAACTTGATAACCCAATATCTGCTTCAGATGTTGAGTTTTCATGTCCACTTCACGCGCTACTGTACATTGACTGTATGCTCTTAACCAATTAGGGTTTTCATGTCCGATATTTTCAATTGTCTCATGTACTTTCATGTCATTTTCAAGTCTAATCAATAATGATGTCATTTAATGGGTATTATAACGATACTGATGTTTATAGATAGACTGACCAGGATATATTATAACAACCTCCCGGTTAGCTCAATGGATAGAGCGCTTGACCGTTGTGCGGGAGGTCGAGGGTTCGAGCCCCAGCCGGACCAACACTCAGGGTCTTAAAATAATTGAGAAGAATTGCTGCCTTTCCATAACATCAACAAATGGTTAGATATTCTAGTCTTCTTGGATAGGGACGAATAAATGGAGGTCCCGTCTCCTGGGGGTTGGGGTAGGAGACGTTAATTTCCCACACACGAGATTACTGTGTGATGGATGTCCTCCCCTGGGGTGGGATGGGTGGGTTTATTGGGCCCGCAGGAATCGGTGCAAGCTGTGTTGGTGTCCCTGCCGGTTGGCGAAGCTAAATAAAATAAAAATAAAAAATAATAATACTTATGAAATAATAATAATAATAATAATAATAATAATAATAATACTGATGTTTCTATGGAGACTGATGAGGATAAGCACTGACCATGTCAGTAATGAATGGGAAGTTATTCCAAACTTTCTGTTCAAAAGGGGTTAATAAGTTAATTACATGTAATTAACTTGCACAGCTATCAGCTTGATCAGCAAAGTAGAGCTCAATAATGACTAAATACAAGATTTGTAAACTTGTTCTTAGTATTCTCTCAAAATATATTTTGTACAAGGCAAAAAATTGGGAGAATGTCAAGTAAAAATCTAAACCAACCTCTTTTTTCGCACAAGTAGCGATAATGCTTTAAACATTTAACATCAATCCAGCTTGAATTTAGCATGTTCAGCCTCACACAGTTTTCAGTTTCTCCTCCATTCGGTTCTTGCCCTCCCCAGTTGGTGAAATTAGCAGGAACACCATTCGTCCACAAGAAATGACCCTCAACATCCGAGTCTGACAAACCAATCCATGCTGAGGGAGTACTTTGTCTTTTCATAAACTGAGCCAAGAAGTCATTTTCCTGTTTGCTTGTTATATCAACAAGTTTGGAATTAAAATCCAAGCAGCTGAGTTTAGCCTCATCCCATTTATTAGCAGGATGGTAGAGCCGATAACATGATCCCATGAATTATTCCCAACCGGAGAGGCATACTAGGAGTTCAAACAGAAGTCAATAAATTAAGGGATCAATCGGGGGGGGGGGGAATTATCGCCGGGTTAAAGCGCGTCGGCGATAAAGCTCAAGATGAAAACATCATAACCAAACGCAACAATGGGCGCAACTTTCAATTCCAAAAATTCACAGTTTTTAACTCTTTCCTTACCGACAGAAGAAATCTTTTTAGGCACACGAACAAAGTCGTCCTGTGGCAAATCTTCCAGTTTTATTCAGCCGCGAGAAATGCCATTTATTACCAAAGCACTTTCGGTTTTTCTTTTTGTATTTTGGTTTTCTTCCCCTTCTAGCAAATTTTTAAACGTTATTGTCAGTAAGCGATACGAATTTTAAAGGGTTTTAGCGGCCATAATCCCAGCAAATTCCGTCAACCGACCTTGGCTTGAGAATGGTGAAAGCTTTGCTATTCACTTACTGACTGCACAGAGTGGCGCGAAATGCGAGTGACGTATCAGTAGCTGATTGGCGATATCAAACAGAAGTGAAAAATTAGCGTATTTTTCACGTGAGTTGTATTACGGCTTTTCTCAGGGCTGGAAATCCTTTAAAAACAATAAAGGTTTTATAATAAGAGGTTTCTGTACTTCCCAGAGAAAAAGCTTTCAGTACATTTTCTGTTCAAAATGGCATTTCTTAAAATCCTACCAGACAACATGTTCCCCGCGCTGTTTTCAAAATTTCCCTTTTAAAACAGGGTGTAAAAGGCTTTCCCCTCCCCTCGAAACCACAAGAGTTTAAGTGTGGATAGGTTGTTTTTTTAATAAAGGTTTACAAAGGGGGGGTCACGGGTACCCC